ATATACTTAAAAAATCGAATAAGTTAAGAAATTGAATTAGTATATAAGTACATAAGTTGAAAAAATTAACGCAGATAAGATTGCAATTAAATTGAAAAAACGTGAAAAAATATACGGATAAATATAAATATAAATATAAGTATAAATGTAAGAGCAAAGAGCGAGACTCACCGATGGTTGTTATCACGGTAAGGGAATACAGAAAAGCACCGGCGAAGGTCCACTTATTTTCCTCCACGCCTTCGTACCCATTTCTTATGGCTGACACTACCATCGTCTGATAATTCTCGAGAATGTCTCTCACCTTTGCCTTCCACAGTTTTTCCGAGAACACATTTTCCTATAAACATATAAGCAATATCAATAGCGTCAGAATATTAAAAGGAAAAGAAAGATTGACGTCAACAATATATTAATATCAATATTAATGCATTATATTATAGCTGTTTCCTTGGAATTCCTTGACATTAGTTAAAGAGAGGGAGAGTACGGGGTAACGAAACTTGCAAAAGATTAAGGCCAGATATCTCAGCGTATGTATCTATATATATAAATATAAAAGTATATGTATGTATTACGTTTTCGATGACATGACCCGGACGGCCCGGAGTCCCGGATCCGATTCCCGTCATTCCCGTCATTCCCGATTTACGATCTACGATCTACTGCGTCCTAGGGACGCCTAGAATTACGCCTAGACGCACCTAGCGCCTAGGTAACTCTAATGCTACGGTCAACAGTGTACGACGTGTAAACTACCATAGCTTAGAGTTAGCCAGGTTGAATTTCTAAACGCAGCCCTGGCCCCTGCGGAAAGTACGGAAAGCCACAGGCCGCAGCGCGTAGGCCGTAGCATGTAGCATGTGTGATTGGCGTAAATTGTTCATTCACCTTGGACGTTAGGTCCCAAAGATTGGCGGCCGTGCGATTTCTTAGCTTGGTGACGTTGGCGGCGATATCCAAGTTGCTTTTACCCTCGATGTGGGTGAATAGGAAGGCGCCCGCTATAGTGTAGCCGACTACGAGACACACGATGCCGACGTTACTGAAGAGGAAGGCTATCAGCGCCCTGGTCCAGTCGGCGATCCGCTCACCCCACGGTTTCCGCTTGCGCTTCCGCCGTCTTCCGCCCCGGCCGCGATAACTTCCACGCTGCCAGCTCCTACTGGCCGACGAACGGGACGTTCTGTCCGTTTCCATCGACAGTGACAACTTGTCGTGACGATGTGTCACGTGTCACCACTGCCACTGTGGCACTGTCACCAGCGTCACCGCGTCACCTCGATCGTCTCGTTTGGAGTTTGGAGTTGGAGCCGATTCGCAAACATCACGTTTCACGCTTCCCGCTTCCCACTTCCGGATCGCCAAACTCTCGCTGATTGACGGCTGACAATGAGAACTGAGAACTGAAAACGGCTCTTGCCGTTGCTCCCCGTTGCGTTGTTCACGATATCGCTACGGGTGGATATCCTATCGCAGAATGGTCACCTTGGATCTTTAATTCATTGGCGACTACAAACTACAAACCGCGCCGTGCCGCAGAAATTCAGCGTATGGCGTGTTGTTCGAAAACCACAGCCGCCATAGACCACAGCCAGATACGGAAGAACGAAGCGTAAGGAGGTACAAGATCGTAAACTATGCGCGAGCACTGACCGGGGACCGGGGATAATCGGCTAATGGAGAATTATGCCGAACAAATTTAATGGGGAACGTCCTATCTCCGAGTCTCTTGAAGTCTCTTCCATCTCTTCTGCCTCCGCGGCGCGCGGCGCGGGCGGCACAGTTGATTCTTGTAGTCTCGATTCTGGTATCATGGTATTGACACTATGGCTGCGTTCGGGGAGCGCGCTATATTAGCGCTATTTGCTTATTCTATCCTTGTTCTACACTTGATGAGCGATAAAGATAGAATGACGCAATAGCGCTAATAGCGCGCTCCCCGAACGCAGCCTATATCGATTCCGTCGTGATCCGCGATCCGCGATCCGCGGGGAATAAAAAACACGACATCGTCGTCGCCGCGGACCACAGCCGCTGCGGTCGAGACTCGAGACGAGTCACTTGGCCGCTTAACAAAATCTATTGTGAAACTGTTTACAATCCCGCGAAAAATGATGGACGATTTCGCCGAAGTCGTCGAAGGCGAGATGTAATCCGACTTTAATTAAATTCCTTTGATTGTCCCAGACTTTTCGCAAGCTGGGAATAAATCAACAGGATTTACACATTGTTCGAGTAGTTTTATACGAGTATGTTTCAACACAAAGTTGTCAAATATATGAAAACGTTCGAGATCCATTGCTATTCTATAAACTCGACAAAATATATGTGTATTTAAATGTGTGTATATATATATATATATATAATATATACGGGGGGAACACTGTAAATGTTTGAAACAAACTCCATACCCCAACTTACGGAGATGGCTTATTATATAGTATAGAATATAGATGTTATAGATGATGCTGATAATAAGATACTTAACATGAATGTATTTGTAGAAATTAATATGCAATATTGTAATCTATTCCTACTAATATAATTCTACTCGTCTCGATTGTCTCAATATGACTATATGTGTATAAGACGGCGTGGCGCCCATTCGGCGGACCATTTTTCAATTTTTCTTCATCGACATTAACATTCGTCTGGGAAACTGGGAAAGACTTAATAATTTGTATATTTAATCAAGAATATGCCACGCATACATATAGTAGAAATTGAGCTCGATACTCGCGATGGTGGTGCTATCGATCGAGGCACAGGCACGGATAGGGAATAGCCGGAATATATAGGGATTGGCACGTTCGTTTTCTGACGTTGGCTAAATGATGACGTAGGCGACGCGATGATCGACGATAAGCCTGATAAGGTCGATCGTAAGATCATGTGAGAGTGAGAACAGAATCGATTCCAAATCCAGGTCATCCAGGAATCAGCATCAAGCATCAGCATTTATACCTCGTATCTGACGTATCTCTCGCGGGCGCGCTCTAACCCTGGCTACCCCGGCCGTTTATTGAGACGATTGAGACGGAATTTGGGATTTCTGTGTTCCCCCCGTATCCTCATTTTTAATCCTCGAGCTTTTGCGAAAGCTATACTTGGACATGCGCGTCTATGCATATGCTATTACACTAGACGAGAAGCCACGTGTATTTTACGTGTTAGAAAGACGCATTACCGTTTATTAAGTTTACAATTTTCGTTTCTTCTTATAGATCATTCTTTCTTAGTCTTATTGATACTATCGCGAATAATCGGAAAGTCTTGGCGATTCTTCGCGAAAACCTTCCATCTTGCACCTTGCACCTCGATTCCTCGAGGTAACAGCACGTGCACGTCCATTAATGGTTTCCGAGGCGACACTCCCGACTCACCCGACTGCCGACTGCCGACTCCCGTTACATCATTATTACGCGCGTACGCGTATGCGTGCACGTTGCAACAAATAATTAATTTCCGACTTTCCGACATTCGATGACATTCCGTCTTACGAAAAGATCCAAGTTCGGCGATAATCGAGATAGAGTCCAAGTCTTAATTGCCGGTATGCAAACATACGGAGAACAACCCACCTCGACCAAGTTTCCCCGTAAACTGATTTCTTCTTTCTTCGTGGCAATCGTGGCACCCCGCACCCCGCGCTACGACATGCACCATCCCGAAATAGCGCGTCGCCCAAAATAACCGGGTTCAAGTCGCCTGGGTCTGCTCGTGTTGCCGATCAAATTGCCGGACTTGCCAGACACCCGGTAGACAAACCCGCATCTCGATGATCCGGTTAGGACGGTTAGGTGAACAAAATGTTGAAACATTGAAATTTTGAAATGTTATAATTAAAAAGACTGTTAAAATATGTAAACAAAATTACATTCAGAGTAAGAATTCTTCTCTCGTTAATTTTAGATAATACTCTTTTTTTTTAATTTGATGATGATTAATAAAAGTAAAATACAAATGGGCTGTCTGACAATATATCTTATGATGATCGATCATTCACCAGCGTGTATATCCGCGCAAAAATCGGAGGATAATTTTGTGACGTGAGAATGAATGAGAGAGAGAAAGCATTTATTTATTAACGCGCCCTGGGATAAGTTAATGAGACAGAGAGAGAGAGAGAGAGAGAGAGGCGATGCGGTTGGCTTTAAAATTTATGAAATGCAGATTCCGCCCGTGCCAGGATTGTTCATTCGTAATGGACGCGAACGAAAGTTCTTAGTGACTATTATTTCTTCTTTGAGTGGACTTTATCGCGCGATTATCGAGTCGTTGAAACCGGAGCCGTTAACTGGATACCGCCGCTGCCGTCGCCGCGCCGTCGCCGTCGTCGTCGTCGAGACGATTAACGTCCTCGCGATTTAAACGACGAAATGCGACTCCGAGCACAGTAGCGAAAATGCACGAGAACGTATATGTATGGGTCGCAAAGGGGATGAAAGGGATTTGCATAGCAAGCGTGAATTTTGCATGCGACAAGTGCGTCCGGGAAAATATTGTAAGGACAATCTTCTGCGCGCGGAAAGTAGTAAGCCGCGCGAAAATATCGTGTTCGCTGAAAGATAAACGTATTCTCGCGTCGCTTGCGTTCGAAGCAAAATTTAAGAGACTATACTGGAAAGTAAGACTATTTTTTGAAAACGTTCAAGTTTCAGATTTTTAGTAGTTCCATAGTTTCATAGCTCCCAGAGAATGAAAAATAGACGTTGCGCTCTCTTCTATCTTTGTGTCGCATTTTTTTTGTCAAAGAAGATTAGAAATATATATGTCGAAGATGTATATATATATATATATATATGTATATATATGTATATATATGTATATATATATATATATATATATATATATAAATCTAAATTGCTATAAAACGCGTGTATAAATAATTAAAACATCTTAACTTTTGTTTCAAGTTTAAAATTTATAAAGGAGAAAATGGTAAATTGTGAGCAAAGTATGACAGAAAGAAAAAGTTAGATAAGAAATATTTTTCTAATAATGTAAAATTTATTGCAAATAATTATTGGACAAAATCTGAAAGGAAAATATTAAAAATGCAAATGTCGATTAAATATCAAAGCTATGCGATATGCAAAGTGTATGTAAATTTAGTTGCATTCCACAATTGTTCTCCTATTCATTTTATAGACACTAATTCTCCGACTTGTATCTATATACGTATACAGCACTATTTTCCTCGCAATATTCGCAAGCTCTATAGTTTCTCTCTTCACCATTATATTCCATTGGTATACATTATAATTAATTAATAATATAGTAACTTTCTTAATAATAGTATTCTCAGCATTGTGTCAGATATTGAATTGAATACACACTGTAACGTTAAATCATGAAAAGTCTCCAAATCAAGAAATTTTTGTGTGAGAGTTATAAGAAATTAAAATTTTAATAATATCCTGGAATTTGAGTATCTATAAATTGAAAAAGATAATTGAGATAAATCATATTTATAAATTAATCTGACTTTATACGTTTGTATACCGATTTATTCTTGCGAGACAAGACCTGCGCGAAAAGAACTATATTACTCAATTATAGGAATTGTCGATCTACGCAAGATCAGATCTATCTATGCCATGAAACTGACTCATATGTCGATCGGGACGTGAACCGAGAAATCCCCTGGATCTTGTACCATGTACGAAGACGGATGACTCGCGCGTCCCCGATCTCGTCGAATAGTAAGTTGAAAACCGCGAGATCAGAGCTTGGGCTCGTTTTCATAGGCCTCATCTTCGTACTCGGCGTCGTATTCGTCATAGTCCTCGGCCTCCCCTTCCTCCTCCTCATCTTCCTCCACGTCCTCCTCGTCGGTCTCTTTGATGATACCCAGCCTCTTCGCGACGCTCTTCACGTTGTTGATGACCTCCTCTTGCACCAGATTAAAGCTCATTGCCAGCAAGGCAATTCCAAATAGCAGGTAGAGAGAACAAAGGGCGATGCCCTTCTGCGCGTCCACCTTGTACGCCGGCACAAAATCGCCGAAACCTTAAAATAGAAGAGATAGGAAATCGTGCGAGTTTCACGTCATCGCGTTCGAAATAAACGCAAGATCAATAAATAAATGGATACAGATAAGCGAAAGTAGAGCCTCTCTAAGACCGTTAGAAGATATTATATAAATATATGTTATAAAGTTGTTACAAACGTATAGGTATTATTCTAATAAAATTAATTTTTGGTCCTCTTATTGTTAGTTCCTAAGACTGACAATGAGCTCTTTCTCTCCCTCTCTCTCTTTCTAACATTGCAAGATAAAATGTTGTCTTTGAAGAAAATCGACTCGTAAGATCGGTATAGTTGACTAATTTCAACGGAATGAGCTTTATGAAACAGTAATAATAAATAAATTGCAGCACATCTTTTGTGAACCGCAAAAAAGGAATTACTAATTGGGAAACGAACCGATGGTGGTCAACGTGATGAAACAGAAGTAAGCCGAATCGAGGAAATGCCACTCTTCCCATTTGCTGAAAAGATAAGCGCCACCAAATATGTAACTGACGACCAAAAAGACGCACAGCCAGATAGGCACGGGCTTGGTCGGCTGTCTTTCCTGATCATCCGCAGCGGTATAGTACTCGTAGTCAAAATCAATATCGTCGGCATAAACCTGTCGATGCACGGCAAATCCCATCGGCGACATAATCCTCGGCGACGGTGGTGGTCCCCGTTTGTAAGAACGTGCTGGAGAAAAATATTTAACGATCAGAAGGTACGCTCGCGCTCGTTATATCGATCGGCTTGTTATTTAAGTTGTTATATATATATCGTGATGTAGTCTGTAAATACAATTTAAGAGCTTTGAATGACTTGGATACTCTCGATAATTATAAATATACATTTCACACATAGAAGTTAGGCTAGATACAAGATAAATATACGTTAGAAACATATTACTCCATAACACGAATATCGTTACATATTTTTATTCTAAAAGCTCAACTCTTATTTATACAATTAGTCAATTGAACCTTAATATCCATCGTCAATATAAATCGTTTAGATATTATTTAGTTTCATTCTTCTCAAATTTCCACAAAAAAGAAAAACGGTTATTATGAATTTGTTAATTTGACGAAATTTATTTACGTTTATCACCATTCGCTCACCGACAGAATAATTGCTCCTAGTGCGTCTACTTTTAGTAGATTGCGACCTTCTCATATATTCCATTTCTAAATAGATAGAAGATGGGCGAGGTCCTGACGACGAACTCGTTCTATGATTCGTCGTCGTGGCTCCTTCCACAGAAAGACATCTTCTCGGCAAGGATCTGGGACGAAAGGAAGTTCGCTTTTCAACGCCATCCAACTCTTCGGGTGTTTCGTTGCTTTGCGGTTTCTCCGAGTTCTCGACTGTAATAGCGTCGGTTTTGTTTAATTTCTTCAAGCGCTTCAAAGAGCGATCTCTTTCATCATCTTAAATAGCACTGATCTATACTTATTTGTATTCTAAACTAATAAACGAGTATCATTATATTAACAATTAACATATAGGAGATAGCATGTGGTAAAGCGATAAGAAAAGTAATGCGCTACAACATAAAAATTAGCTATTGTTTCATCCAAAGAGAGAATTCTTGATTTTTGTTCCGCTCTTAGGGCCACTTCGACCAACGCCGATTAACTTTAATCAACGATTAACTCAATCAGCAGTGTCGCCAACAACAAGATATTTGTCGTTGTGTACGTCGTTCTTAACCAATCTTTTCAAATATTATACTACTTCTTTTTAATTTGAATAAAGGTGTTTCGATTTTTATTTAAAATATCTACGAAAACGTGTTTATGTAACATGGATAGAATTATTAATTTTTTATTATTTGATGAATACGAGGGTTATGATCTTCCAATAAGAAAAAATCGACAAAAACCACGTATAATCAGGCCACATATAAATTATTTAGAAATTTTTAATGATGATCATTTTAAAAGATTTGCCAATATCAAAGGAAAACTTTAACATGATATTAGAAAAAATTTATGTTGAATTACAACATAAAACTAACTAATCGGTATGTATAAATATTTAATACAACAATTTAAAATTATATATAATATAATAAACAAGACAAAATATGTTTATTATAAAAAAATAAAACATTAAAAAACTTATACATATTATGGGAATGCATATATGTATTGTGTCAGTTTATTAGTTTATTTTAATTTATTTTAATTAATATTTTCTCAGTTCTGGTGAATAGTATATTATATATTATAACAACACAAATTAGATTATTAACACACACAGCCATATGTATATAATTGGATAAATAAATAAATATGTGTATATTTATACACATATTTATTCAATTATATACATAACTAATCGCGATTAGTTTTATGTTGTAATTCAACATAAATTTTTTCTAATATTATGTTAAAGTTTTCCTTTGATATTGCAAATCTTCTTTTAAAATGATCATCATTAAAAATTTCTAAATAATTTATACGTGGTCTGATTATACGTGGTTTTCGTCGATTCCTTCTTATTGGAAGATCCTAACCCTCGTATTCATAAAATAATAAAAAATTAATAATTCTATCCATGTTACATAAACACGTTTTCGTAAATATTTTAAATAAAATCGAAACAACTTTATTCAAATTAAAGAGAAGTAGTATAATATTTGAAAAGATTGGTTAAGAACGACATACACAACGACAAATATCTTGTTGTTGGAGACACTGCTGATTGAGTTAATCGTCGATTAAAGTTAATCGGCGTTGGTCGAAGTGGCCCTTATAGTTAGAATAGTTAGAATTATGTATTGTATTATATTTTATATTGCGATGTATGTATGTAATTGCGATAGAGTAATAACGATACTCACCCTTATCTTGAGGCGGGTGCCTCCACCTCGACGTTTCGTCTTCAAAATCATCCAATGCGTATTTGTTGCACAAAACTGGCGAGCGATCCGCTTCGTTCGGACTCATCAGCAATTTTCTGTCCAGCGACTGTGTCGTTATTCTGGGTTTAGCTATAAGCATAAGCGATAATGAAAATAACGCAAACCAGCCGATAGTTATTAATTAATCGATGAGTTGATAACGAGTGGAATGCGGCGCAATCGATGCGGCGCAATCGATGCGCTTGAATTAATTAATTAATTCAATCAAGCGAGTGTTTTACGGAGACTTCTGACGATAGCAGCACTTTGTATATCTCACTTGTGTAATTTCGCATGATTTCGTATGTGATATCGACATATCGTTTGCAACTCTTTTGTTATGTAAATAACGTACAAACAAGATAAACAACAGAGATAGATTTGAGAGAGATTCAGTTAAATTTAATATAAAATTTAATTCGTTGCTACATATATTTGTTTTCTTTATTTTGATTGTCTGTGCGTGACAACAAAATATGTAATATCTCTTTTTACAAAATCGGTTCGGAATACAACTCTTTACGTATACATTATTTTTTATCTGTTAACTTTATGATCAATTTAAAGACAACACGATTAATCAATAAAAGCAATAAAATAAAATAAAATGAACGATTGATAAAGTACCTCTTACGCTTCTCGGAGTCGCCAGTGGAATATCCGAATAACGTGGTACAGTTGCGGCTTTAATTTCCATTGGATTATTTGTAGAAGGTGCATAAGCTATTGCCCTTGATTCGCCTCCTTCCAATCGTCGAGACATGTACCTACACAATTTGTCTTTTCTACTTTTATTTCTAATTTTATCTTAATATCTTTTATTATTATAATTATTTTCATAAATAATTCATATTTGTATGACGTTGCATTAATTTAATGACTAAATTAATTAGAAATGCTGTAAAATATTTTCTTTGATAAATGACTTCGAATTGAAGCAAACAACGATCTTACATACCTACAATCAGTATCAGAATATGAAGACTTTGTCATACTTTCGGAGAGTCCTAAGGCCGAGTCGGCCGACCGTTGACTCACTCTGATGGATCGGCGAAACGGGCCTCTGTTTGATCCATATCTCCTTATAAAATATGATATAATAACAATAATATAATACAATCGTGCAAAGATATTTTTATTTTTATATACAATCAGGACATTAGATTATATCTATTCAATTTTTCAATAAAATTCTAATCTACTCTTTAAGAACGCGTACTGATCCGTAATTTTTACTTTGTAATACTTTACAGATTACATAACATGTATGTAATAGTGCATACGTTTATAAAATTTTTTTTTATTACATTTTTATATTACCTATATATGTTACAATTATTAGAATAGAACATTTTTTTAAACTTTTATAATGTATCATATATAAAATTACCCTGGTTGACGAACAGAATGCGACCTAACCATGTTGTTACGTCCTCGTCGTTTTTTTGGTGGTTTTGTGCATACGTAACAGCACACTTTCCAATATAGAAACCTAAAAATACAATGAATACGAAAAAAACGATTATTTTTCAGCGCTAATGAAAACTAGTAAGTAAATGTTTTGTGTGTGT